AGAAGTCACATTTAAAATCCTTCTTTAATGAAGTTCCCCCACCATCAGCACCCCTCGTTTCCAATGAAATTTTCATCTGGCGTGAAATCAGAAACATTCGTGGTTGTAAAAACAAAGATTTTCAACTGATAGATTTTCTTTCTCTTCCATTCCCTCTTAGTAAGATTTTATACCTTGTGATTAAATATTCAACTTATGAAAATCCAAGAAGCAAGCATAGATTTCCTTAGTTTCAAGCAACATAAATTTCTTTCTCGAGACGATTCTTTCAACATTTTTAAATTAAAAAAGATAGCGAAGTATGAGTCATTAATGATGATTAGAAAATTTCTTAATACAATAAATTGAAGATCTGACAAAAAAATGTAATAAAATATGTTTTCCCTTAAAACTTTGAAGGATTCTCAAAAAGAAATTTTTAAAATCTGTCAACAAACGGAACTGGAGAAAATCTGTCTTAATAATATCTTTGAGATGGGTTTAAGCGAAGCTTTTCTTCATATCGCTTAGAAAAATTTGTCCGTAATGCTGTTCTTTACTTTTTAAAAAAGAAGAAGATATAAAGAACATCAATTTCATATAAGTACGTAGCAAATCAACATCTTTTGTTTCTATTATATAATATAAAGCGCTATATTGTGTTTATCTTACTGATATTGACACTCCAATTTTTTTATATCTCTCTTTGCGTTTCCATGTGCTTTCTGGTTATGTCACAAAATGATTCGTCTTGTAAATCATCTTAAGTGGATGCTTTAATTAATTATATTTCTACAAGTATAAATATCTATATTCGCTCACTTGCACTTTCATTTCTTTCAGTTGATGTTGAGTAAACATCACTCGAAATAGAAGAAAAAAATTATCAATTACCATCGTAATCTCATTAATTAAATGCCTTTCTGACGAAAATAATTTTGCAGCGTTTCTCAGCGGTTGTTGCGCAACCAAATGGAAATCTATCATTGCCATGGTTGAAGAACGAGGAACTTATTTTGATACAAGAAGAACGCATTAGAGAGAAAAAAATATGTGAAGAAATATGTTTCGCTCTACCCACAATCGCTTTCTTTTTGATCTTTTAATTATTTTCTTTTCGATGGATCAACTTTTTCATCTTTTTGGCTGAGAAAATACAGGAACAAACTCTTTAACACAGCACATGAATCACACCATAAAAGCTCTTCTTCATTAACTTTTCCTCACATTTTCCAAACAAAAATAAGAAAGCGAAAAGTTTTCTGACTGAAAGTTTAACTCTCGTGTGTTGCGTCATGTGTTTAGGTTTTCCTTCTCCATGACAATGACAAAAATAGTTTAGAGATGAAGATACTCTCATGAATATATATACATAGATACTTAACTTATTAAAACAAACTTCATAACGTAAATAAATATATTCAAGTGAAACATATTTACTTGCCGATCCAAGAGTTTTGTAAACTTTACCGATTGAAAGACTCCAATTTATGATACTTATTAGCTGATGAATATTTCATTCGAGAAGCTCGTATTTTATAAAAGAAAATAACTTCGACTTACTTCAAGCAACGAAACTCAAGATGGAATAACAATGACTAACTATTAAATTTTTATTTGCTATCAACTTTCGTTGTTGTGGTTTTGTTATGATATTGCCTAGCAAAAATTAAACTTCAAGCTAGTAAAACTTTTCTGTAGGAAATTGTAGAGCTTTTGATGATGTTATGTCTTAATTCAAGCTCCCATAATTGCTTTGCAATAATTTTCTCGTTATGCTCCACGAGTTTTTGTGTGAAAGTCTTAATCACTGGGGTGGTTTATTTATTGTTAGGTAAATTTTACATATTTTCAACATTTAAATAATTAGATATGTAAAGTCGTCATAAATACGCATATTTCGAAGTTTCCATACACAATAACACACGCGCGAACACCCTCACAAATTCTCGATGATTTATGCTTTTTAATGGATCACAAATTATACATGAAATTATGCTTTCTCTGTAAATTGACATTTTTATTAACATAGCAAGGATTTTGCGGAAATGGCACTATAGAGCCATAAGATTTACCATTTATAAATGGAAATTCAGCGTTTTCATCGAATAGAAGGAATGAAAAATGATTTATGCCTCGTTTTTGTTGTTTCTTCAATTCATGTTGAAGAATTCATTCAATTAGTTTTGTGAAAGGCGACTTTTTTTAAAAGAAAAAAGTATTTTAGTAGCAACTAAGTTAGGCTTTGTTAGAAGCTTTAACAGAAAACAGCACGAAATGAGAATAATTGAAAACGATGGAAAAATCCAATATAAACTAAATTAATAAAAGAAAGAAGCATTCGTCTAACTCTTTGAGAACACCTATGGCTTTCTATACAGCAATGAGAGCAGAACATGCTTGCGTTGTATGAGCGTATCTATCAAACATGAATTATTGTTATGAAGAAGGTAGATGCTGTGAGAGCTTCCAACCATGGAATGGAGATGGAAAAAAAAGAAATCATAACATCGCACAATGAACGAGAATCTGAAAATGAATTTTCTTTTAACTTAATTATTGAACTTCCATCACTAAATGTGTTCTCATTGCAACATACAAATCGATATTTCTCGTCTCCTGTCATTTTTAATCGATCATCAAATATCTTTCGTGAAGATGTCATGTCACGCCATCATTCATCAACTTAAAACTATTAATTGAATTATTATTTTTTTGCTTTAAATTGATTGTGCATATAAAACTACTTCTGGAGCTTCGCACTGGATTGAAACTCAATTTGCTTCTGAAGCTTCGCACTGGATTGAAACTCAATTAACAAGAGGTTAAACGAAGCACTTTATCATTCTCCTGAAGCATTCAACATGTTTTTGCTGTCTCGTATTGCATGAATCAAAAATGGCAAATAACGTCCCTCGTTTAAAACTAATGGTAGAGTTTAATTTCTTTCTAATTTCCCATAAGTTAATATTAATGTAGTAAAGTTATACTGCAAATTAAAATGACAATTCATTAAACTTTTGCATTTCACATTGAATTAAAACAAAGCATAAATGCAATGTTAATCCCTTTTTTCAATTACATCCAACTTCAATACAAACATCAAAACATTCTTTGCTGCTTAAGTGCAGAATTTATTTATTATTATTAACAATTCTAGAAATTTAAAAGTAGAATTAAATCATCTTTTAATTCATCATTTTACGTTTCAACAACAGCAATGGTTTTATAATTACAGAGATTTACACACATTCACGTCGCATTTTGTCCACACATATTTTTATTCCCTGTCGGGCAGAAAGTCCCTTAATGACAACGAACATGTGAAAATTTTATTATTTCCACATAGATTTTACGTTTTGAATTGAATCACAAAACCTGCTTGATACATCACTGCTCACAATCGAGATAACAGGTTGGGGTCAGAAAAAAGTGCCATTAAAATTCTATTTTAATTGTTCTATTCGAAAGTTAATGCTTGAAACGTGAGATTCCTATCAAGGAAAATGACATACAAAACAAAATGAGTTTTCGTGTCGTCCCATGCTGCATTTAAATTTTATTGTGTTGTTTTTTAGAAAAACAAATATTTTCTGTTATTGCTAATTAAATTTATTTTCCATTATTAAGTGGGAGTTTCTAAAGTTTCAGATTAATTCATCGGATTTTAATGATAATGTTTTACAATAAAATAAATGTACAATGCATACGTTTATATAAACTGTTTAGTAATAAAATTACAAAAGCCAATTTTCATTTAATAATATAAGTCCTAAAGATAAATAAACAGAGCTATAAAAGTTATTGTAGAGCTCATAATAACTTCATATTGCTTTCTTTTAGGCTCTCTCCATCCACACTTATCAGTTATTGATTTCTAGTTGCTCATAAAAAAATAATAAATATTAACAGGGACACCTGATTTGATACCATGGATAATTACATATTATTACTCTTTCATTTTTTATTTCTCATGTTCTAATGATTAAATGATTAATTTAACCACAAATTTACGGTGATATGGCAAAAGGTAATTTTTTTCAGCAGAGGAAGTTGTTAAGAAAGTGCGTGACATTGAATTGATTAATTGAAGTTTGTATAAATATTTGGGGAGAAATCTATACAAAAATATTACAATTTATCGCTGGATAATAATAATAATAATTACTCACCGGTACGATTTATTTAATCCAAATTGCGAAACTTCCAATGTTGGATTCGTTTGAGTAGGAAAAAACGCTTCAACTGCTTGATCAACATTTTTTTATATTGTCAGAGATATAAATTATCTATTATTGGCCACAAAATGTCAAGGTTACCTCTAGTGGTGTTCTTCTCCTTCAACCTTCACAACTTTTCTTTCACACATCAACCAAAAGTCATGAATATTTAAATTTTTTATTAGGCATATTGAATTTCTGATTTTTATTAAGTTTCCAATTTTACTTTTGGCCATTGTGTCATCCTCTGGCGGTCAATCATTAAGATAAATATTTCATGAAGTAGTAAATATCATCTAATAAAGATTGCAAAAAGCTTCTTATATAAGAGTGGAAAATATCCGACCATCCGATAAAAAATAATGCCAAAAACCAGCAATTCATTTCCATTTAATGCCCTTTCTAAAGCTGACAGCATAAAATTGTTAATCTATCGCTAAGTAGAAGCAATAAAGAGAAATGAATAATAATATGATACGGTTTGTTATGATTACCGTTGAAAGCTTAACAATAATTCTTCTAGCTTTGACAAACAACAAAATCTCTGCTTTTTTAAAGAAAATCTCTGTTGCTTGACCCTTACAAATTTGATTTAATCGCTTACAATAGCTTTCTTGGGAAAAAATCAAGGTTGAAGTTGAATTGGACGTTTTACATTTTTTATCTAGATTTCTTTACACCTTGGAAACGCTGAGATTTTAAGATTGTTAAAGGTACTCGTAAATAAAAAACCAAACAACATCATTACAGCTGTCAACATCAAAAGCCTTTGTTAGCTTGTGTTGTTTTGTACATACATAATTAATTTGACATTTTAACTGATATCAATTGCCAGAGGAGTAAAATGCCTATAAAACATGTTTGATTGCTTACATAGGTGGTGACAATGAGACATTTCACGGATGAGCTACAAAATAATAATTTTTTCGTTAATGGGAGTCCGATCGTTAACTTTCTCCATACTATGTATTGTTTTATTAAATATCTGATTGTAATTGACGTTAAGTGAACGAAAGCCCTTGTTTGTATCTCTTAATTTACTAAATCACTTTTATACATTCCATTCGTGTATTGATTTTCAGAATAATTCCATCAATGAAGCTTCTTCATCTGCGATAAATCATCAGCTTGATCCCCATTTGATGTGCTTTTTTTTTGATGTTGTTACAACTTTCACTCCCAAACGAAACACAAGACAACTAAACTTGTCCGTAATAAATTGTCTATACTTTTCGGCGTATTCTTTTTTATTTTTTGGTGCCTGTTTTCCCTTCTTTCACCTTCCCATTCCACTTCACAACTCGTACTCACTTACGAGGATGTAACAGGCATAAAAAACTCGCTGCTTTTCGTGTTCAGAAAAAAATTCAAACGCAAAAATCTTTTTGGCAGGAAACAACTAAAAAGAAGAAAGAAGTGAAGCAAAATTAGATTTTTTCTCAAATAAATCAAATTGATTGCCTAATAATATTTACTTATTCTTCCTCTGCCCTAGAATTCTGAGCGGAAATTCAGTAATACATTGGATGGAAGAGGCTCTGCTAAAGGGAACTTGAAATGTGCATAGAACATTTCGTTGAGGCAAGCATAAACCTCGGCAGAAATACAAAAGATTACTTATATCCATTCTCAAGACTACGGATGTATAAAAATATCTGATTCCATCTTTTAATACTCGTAAAATAGATGCTCGTTTGCCTTCACTTGTTGTTTAATGCTTATTGAAATTTAAACAAACAAAACGAGAATAAGAATTCATTTTTTCTTGTTTTCTTAGTTAGCATGGCTGATAGTTTTTTACATGCACTGAACATTAAAGTTCTTACATAGTAGAAGGAAGTAATAATAAATTTGTTGGGAAGAAAGGTGCAGATACGAGTACCTAGTTTACTGCTAACGAGACAAATGTGGGAATGAATGTCTTCTAAAGGGAAACATAAAAGCAACAATAACTTTTCTTTATAATGAGTACCTTGCCGCTTTCATGTCATTGACTGTTTGGGAAATATTTTACGCCCTCGTTTAGTCCGCTAAAGCAATGAAGAGGAAAATCAACGGTGAAAGCGAAGGAAGGAAATTTTTGTCAAATTTACCTTAAATGATCTCCTTCCATCTTTTCAACATCTAGGACGGCATTATCAGTTGTTGCGATGTTGACAACGCTCTTAAAATGGGGGGAAAAGAAAATAGGGAAATTGTGAAAATAATAAGTGATTCGAGTGCGTGTGTATGTGTGTGCGGGGGTGTTTGGAGATAGAAAATTTTTTATCGTTAGAAATTATCGTTTTTTCTTCTGCTTTTTCTCAATAAAAATAACAAACATGTTCCTGAATAAACATTTTTTATGATGAGCAAGAATAGAATTGTGATTGAATCAATATGGGCGTTATTGAAAAGGTTTGTCTGCTCATCATAGAAAGTTGTCTCAATTTGAAGTTTGTCTTCCTTGAAAATCCACTTCAACGAAACATTTCAATTACATCAAAATTCAAGGAAGATTAATTTTATTTGTGTGACATTTCTTATGATTTATTTCCTGTCATACATAAAATATCAACATTGTAATAGCTTCAAGCCATATAATTCTTTTCCATTTCATTTTTACTTTACTCTTTATCGACATGACATTTTTCAAAAAATGTCTGACTTTCTGAAGTAGTTTTTCTCAACTCACAACAACATTTCCTTGTATCAAAGAAAGAAAGAAAGGAAAAGAAAAATGAACAGACAGGAATGTGATATAACATGATAACATGACCTAAACTAAAGTTCATGATGATTTTTTCTCCTAGCTTGAGTAATACGAAAACAAGAAAAAACATTTTTTCAATGTCATCACTTCATGAAGTCTTCTCTTATAAGAACAAGTTCTGAATCTCTAAAGGTCGGAAGAAAGTATCGAATTTTGGATATTTATTAGGAAAGGTATCAATAAATCATTTGCCTATACATCTACATAGATGTAGAAAACAACGGAACTCAGATACGCTTCACATTTTTCTTTGATATCCTCAAGTGTGATGTAAGGGATGTATATAATGCTTATCCCTATTAAAAAGATACTTTAACACCCGAATGTGTTCTTTTTCGTACGTACGGAGTGTTCCAGAACAAGAAGAGTTTCATTCTTTGAATGATTACTTAGTTTGGTGAAAATGATATGTTTTCGTGTTAATTGTGATTAAAGTATGATTGATTGATGATGTGCGATGTCTCTGTCAAATCCGTAAGAAGATCGGAAGAGCGTCGTGTAGGGAAAGAGTGTAGNTTACTTTTATTGCCTCAGAAGTTGCTATAACGCGGATGCTGATTCCATGTTTACTTGCACATTTTGCAAGAATTTCTTCTGAAGCATTTTAAGAATCATGCGAAACATGCTCACGACAAGGTTTGAAGAATTTGCTTGAAGTTGAGAAATATTAGCTGCGTTCGAATCGTTTGTTACATCATCGAGATCTAAAGGTTGTGTAAAAGCAAATGATTCGACATCGACGATTTTGCAAATTCAGATCTTAATGTCTTTATCACAAATTTTACAAGTAGAAATGTCGAACCACGACTTCTTTTTTAATTGAAATTTTCATTTTCGTAACGTTTAAATAAAGTCTTTTCGATTGCTTTTTATCTACTTGTAATTTGCTTAAATTATAAAAATTAATGCTGATAAATTTAAAGTAGAAAAAAATTATCATATTTTAGGATAATTTTGAAAGTTAATTTGTCAATTTTCGAAATTTTCGCTAAATCTAGGAACAAAAATTGAAGCAAAATTATAACTAGTATTCGGCGAATAACGTACCGAATATTCGGCGAATATTCGGTATGCCAAATACTTGCATAAAAGTACGAATACACGAATATTCGTATTCGCCGAATACGTACCAAACTTTGGTGAAAATGATATGTTTTCGTGTTAATTGTGATTAAAGTATGATTGATTGATGATGTGCGATGTCTCTGTCAAATCCGTAAGAAAACAAGAATGTTATAAGGATTGATGTTCGTTAGCTTGAATACACCTTTAAGTTGAAGAAAAGCTTTCATATGGATGATCTAAAAGAATAAAAACAAATTTAAAGCCTTCAACCCAAAATTTTCCTATGGAGATATTTATTCATGTACATAAATAACTGATATGTGATACTTCAAGATACATGAAGCGAAAATATTGAAAGAAGATTTTAGGTCTTGGAAAAACAATCTTTTGATAAATAAATGTTCTTATGTTATCGGATCCTTCATCAGTTTCAATTGTGTATGTGGAGACTGATGTTGGAGATATCTTCGACTCGAAATTTGAAAGAATATCACCGCTTATATTAACTCACTCCATGTTTCTTTTCTTTTCTAGATTTTCATTTCTCAACATCTTCAGGCCAGCTTTTAGGATTCCAGCTTCAACTTCCATTTACATCACAAAAGAATTATATCATCCAAAAAATGGCCCCGGGCCATTATACATTGTGGGCTGTAATTTATTTCGCTTGTTTATGCAGTGCATCTTTGTAAGTATCATCAAATGGATTTCATCGACAACTTTCTTACTTATAATGTACAACTTTATAAATAAATTCTAACAATTGCCCTCAAGTCATCTGTTAGAAATACAAGAGATGTGTAAATGAATAAGTAATCTAAAGTTTTTCAATATCTCTTCTATTTTATGCACTCCTGAACTATTCATTAACCTTTACAATGAATGAATAGAGCAAACACAGCTAAGGTAAACTTTCGTGAAAAGGAGAAGAAGATTCTCGATCAAATTCTTGGCCAAGGAAAATATGATGCGAGAATACGGCCTTCGGGCATCAATGGCACTGGTAAGTTGTCGTCATTATCTCTTACTCACGTTTACATTCCAGTAATGACATTCATTAAAACTCAATTTTCATTTTTCGAGAACGCAATTGGTTAGCGCGCCATTCTCGCAATGCCACGATGTCGTTAAGCGCGCTACATGACGAAGTACCGGGAAAGAAAAAGATTTTAATAAAAATTTATTTTTACGTTTCACTAAATGACCTCTCCCCGTCTCTCTCACTTGATTTTCTTTTTTTCCTTATTCGTCTTTTATAACTTCAACCAACAACTTCATATAAACATTTCGTAGAAAGAGAAAATTGAATTTTAAGAGAATAAATTGGAATTATTTATCAGACTAATGTCACTTCGCAAGAAATATCAAAAACTGATCAGTGTCTTGAATTGTCGTCATATTCGCAGCTATATTGGATGCTGAACATGATGAGGTTGAAATTTCCGTAGAAATAAAATTGAAAATATCATCAGCAATAACATCCACAAACACAAACAACATTTTATTTTAAATCTCTTTTCCTTTAAATTACTTTTAATTTAATATTCGTGTCCCTTTTTTATTTAGCCTCGGTCAAACATTTTTGAAAAATTTGTCAACAAAAATTTTATTCAAAATTTAATTAAGTTATCAAATATCCTGAACAAGAATAATCAAATAATGTTTGAAATAAGCATACACATAGATGATTTTGTTATACTTTAGTTAAACGTTAACAGCGTAGGATGATAAAAACAAACATCCGATGTACAAGCTGCTTAAGTGCTTACACTATGTTGTTGACAGGGTTGAAATGGTGCGCACTTATTTTCAGTTGTTTTCCATTGAAATAGCGCCAGGGCAAATTGGATATCAACAACAACGTATGAAAATATTTTACATTCATTAAGTTTTGTCAATATCTTCGTGAATTGAACCGATGAATTCAAAATTTATTTTATTTTATGCCCCAACTTGAAAAATTTTTTAATTAATTTAAATAATTCTGTTATTTTAAAAATATTTCTTCTACTGTAACAATCCTAAATATAATCAATTACAGCATATTAATTAAATTACATTTCTTTTATTTAAGTTTTATTAAAATTCTTCAACGATACTTGATTCCTTTTTTGAGTTGCCTCTGCCAGTAAAAAATTAAATTTATTGCTGTTGATACAAAATGACGCGAGAAATAACATGACATCAAGCATTTCACAACTACAGATGCGCCTCTCATGTCAATTTGATATACACTTTGAATGTGTCGTCAGATAAAAGCGAATTTAATTGGATGTGTCTCATCAAAATTGTCATTTCTACATGTAAAACGAATTAAATCAGAGTACTAAATGTTATTTAATATAATAGATTGATTTTTAGTAATCTAACACTGTCGCTTTTAATGACAATCAAAACTTAAAAAAACATCATGCATAAATATTTTTACATTCATCAATTGCCAAATATTCTCACTTGTTAAAAATTCTTTCTTATTGTATGATGATGATGTTAACTTGATAACACAGATGGCCCAGCCGTGGTCAGAATCAATCTTTTCGTTAGAAGTATTGCTACTATAAGCGATATAAAAATGGTAAGTTTGTAGCTTCAGCCACTTCATATCTTCATTTTCTTTTTCGTAACGAATGTGACCTTTTATAATTTTGTTCGAATAGTCTTGTTTGCGTTTTGATATTTATGAAAGGTTATTAATTCAAGCAAGTGAAATTCATAAGTAATAAAATTATTGCATCATTACAATCGAAAATGTCTCAATTCAAATAAAGTTTATTTTTAAAACGCCTAACAACAAGCGCTCATAAATTTCCAAATACGCCATCATCAAGTCAATTTGCATATCCAAAGATAAGTAATCACGAAACAATCAACATGAAGAGGTTTCTGGTGAATTCCAATCACATTTTCTTTATGTTTACATATCCAAAGCTCGCATAAATGTCTTCTCGACAAACATTACAAATATTCAGATGGAATATTTAATGTGGGGAAACTGTTTTCTGATATTTGCGTATACGTACTTGTCCCTCATTCTTAATTAGATTATTCAGAATGTATATATATTACATGACCTAGATTTCCCCGGAGGCAAATGATTTGTCTTTTGTTTTATTTCGACCAGAATGTATAATAACAACCAGCATAACTTTTCATAGTGTCGATAAAATTTTGTCTTTTTATGTTATCATTACCGGCTTGAATAATTGAAATACTTTTGTAAAAAAATCCTAAAATAAAATGAGATTATAGTTGAAGAAACTCGAATTCCTTCCGCAATCAAAAAGAGACTGTAAATAGTCAAACTTGATAATAAAATCTTTTGAAAGGTTCAAGTGACCTTTGAAAACTTTATAGATGGTTACATAATGTGAAAAATATGACTTTTTCATTTGCTACTATGAGGATAAAACAATGTGCCTTGAATTTTCATTTTATTCATAGAATGGTAGAATTAATGCTACTTGGTTGTAACCAAAATTTGTATATCTACATATTTTAGTAATAAATAGAAATTAAAGATATGAACATTTGCAAGATTTCTCTAATGCTTTAAGTGTTCTAGAATTTCGAATGTCATCATCTAAAATATGTATTACCTAAGCATTCGATATTGTATGTGATGTTGTACAATGAATATAGAAACAACAAGCAGTCTAAGGAATAAAAAAAGTTTGCGTTGAAAAGAAAATGAGCGTTGAGAAATTTTTGCTGACTCGTTATCATTAGTTAAAATGATGAAGCTGGATTTATCGTAGGGAAAACCATTTTCATTACATCAGTTTCTGTTTTTCTTGCTGTTTTCCTGCAGAGTGGAACATTCTTCATTCACTCAAATTCGCTTTGAATTTTTTGTTTATTTTATATTATCGACTGAATAAGGAAGTAAATTTTATTACATAAAATAAATAAATATATTTATCCTCGTCTCACTCCAATAAAAGGCAAAGCAAGCTTCAGACTAACTTTCAGACTTCATAAACATATGGACGGAAAAAAAAGCAAATTTATGCTAATGCCATAAAATTCAAAATTTTCCATTACACAAATCATTGCGAAATTGTTATAAATAATCAAACTTTTCCCCCTGTTTCATCCCTCCACTTTGAAAATGTTTGAATTCAGACAGCTAAAAGACTTCGTTTTTATTTTTCACAAATATCGATGTGTAATGTTGTGAAGTAAACAATTTTGGAAAAGTCAATTGAAAAGTTGAAATTCACCTAATGATGAAACTTCGTGCTTCAAAGTTTAATGTTCAGAAAAGTGCAAAGAAATTTACCAAAAAGTTTTCCATCAATTTTTTATAAAACATAGCACATTATGAAGATGATTTTTTGCTTTGTTTTTCTTCATATCTACTTATGATATCACAAAAACACATTATTGAAACAATGAACAATGAAAATCAATTATCCACTGAATTGAACCGAATAAAAACTGTAAAATCTTTACCAAGTCTATACAATGCAATGCTTCACATGTCATATTTTATGCTGGACATCAATAATTTAGAACAGTCAGAAAATTTATGTTCTCTTCAATTGCAACAGATTTTTCTTCAAGGAGGACGAAAGCAGCAAATTGATGTTTCATGTGCTGATAAATTTATCACTGATTTATAGTGAAAACGTTCTTCCTTTTCCGATAGCAATAAAAATTCAAACAAATCAATAATGCAAACAAACACTCTTTGTCTTTCATATCTTATATCGTCGTTCCTCCAACCAGAAGAAAAAGTAAAACAAAGAATTTCTTTTAAAAGAGATACTTCAGTTTGTGTAATCAATATTTTATATCTAAGGATTATTACGAATGTTCCGTTCCGTAAGTTTCTTTGAAACGTGAAAGAAAGCAAGAAAGACATTTACCAACAATTTTTTTTAATAAAAATAGACAATGCTGTTCAACGAAGGCAACTTCAAGTATTTAATTTCACTCAAAAAAAACATTTGATCCAGTGTCCCCGACATACAAAAACAATATTTCCTGATCCGATAAGAGTACGTCTTGCTCCTTTTTTATGTTGAGGCTTATGCTTAGCGAATCTAACCGTCATAATCAAGTTGCCAAATGGTTTGTTACAATAAATCATATTAACGGTCGAAAATAAAAATGATAAAATTAATGCGCCGTCGGAAAATGAATCTCCAGAAATCACAAAAAAATTCATAAATATTTTTTATTATCTTTGGATTGCAAAACGGCCTGTCACTTGAATAATCAAATCATTCCTTTGTTAGACTGTTTTAGATGCAAAACTCATCTGCATTTGATCATGTAACTCTTAACTTTATTGTCTAAAGCAATTGAAATTTCTTTGAAGAATATAAATGACAGAAATATTCCAACTTTTCACTCTTAAGCATCAAAACATTTACTAAAGTTGAAATTGCAAAACAAAAAATAATTGGAATGTTAGAATTTCATATTTAACAACACCAATTCATAATTTTTGAGTTAATTATTGCTAGGAAAAGATGACAAGATTTAAATAGTTTTGATATCTGTTTCAGAAAGTAAAGAATTTAATTATCACAATGCAATTGTTAGTGTTTAAATGAATTAAATTTCTACACTTTACTCACATGTGAAAGGATCTTCTTCACATCATAAATTTTATGAATTTCATTATTGAGAGAGGCACGATTGTATGGCGACTTTAAATAAATATTTCGTAGGTGTTAAACAACTTATTGGATATTTAATATGAATTTTAAATGGCTGATGCTAGACATAATTTTTCTTTCAGTACCATTAGAATAGAGAACAAGATTTTTAATCGTTAATGATAGTATTTCTATATGAGAAACATAAAAAGTTATTTAAAGCAGCATGACTCTTAGCAACTTATTGTATTGATGATGAAGCTGAGTATAAATTTATTAAAATCTAAAGCGAAAATCATTAAGTTATTCATATTCTACTTTTCATTTTTTATTCTTATAGATAAATGTGTCAACAAATCAATTCTTTATTTGATTGATTTCAATCAAAAAAGTTCTC